TCCGCCTCCCAAGTAGCTGGGACCACAGGCGCCCGCCACAACGCCCGGCTATTTTTTGGTTGCAGCCGTCATTGTTGTTTGGCGGGTCCGGGCTGGGGGTTCGAACCTGCCACCTTAGGTGTACGTGGCTGGCGCCTTAGCCGGTTGAGCTATAGGCGCCGAGCCTAGCTCAGGATCTTGAACTAAAATCTCATTCAGTAATAGATGGCTCAACTTCAGGATCTCGAACTAAAATCTCATTCAGTAATAGATGGCTATTTCAAAAATTTAGAATCCCATTTCTAATTTTATAATATCTCTTTTCCTACCCTTTTTGCTTTCATGCTGCTACAAGGCACATCGTTCAATTACAATAACTTAAAATTAAAACTATTTTGAAAATATTACAAATCCCTAAAAATAAATGGACTCTTCTTGAAAGGGAAAGAAAACCACTACTTTCCAGACCAATTCTAATGCTCACATTTTGCTTTCTGATGGTTTCTCTCTGGGATTTCCATTCATGGATCCATAACAGTTTTACTTAAAACTTAGAATGTTTTCTACATGTTCTTATGCAATAATACATTCACTGGGAGTAATCACAGGAAAATGGGCAAATCTTTGCACTGTATAAACAATGGCTTTTTTGTTGTTCAGTGGAACAGGACAAAAGGTGTATGGCTGAATATACAATGAGAAAACTGGACCAATAAACTACTAAATTAATAGCATAAATACAAAAATTAAATGGAATTATTCATCTTTCTCCTATTGCTCAAAAATAATAGTTCTGGTATTCTCAAGTTAACAAAGCTACGGTGTAAAAATAAACTTTTTTCCTGAACTTTCTCTTTTATAATTAAAAAATACATATCTATTACTAATTTACAATGGCACAACTATTACAGCATAAAGATGGTTAGAATAGAGGACTCTGTATTTCTACTATGACTCTAATTTTACTTCATTTTGGCAGAATCCTCTAAATGTAAACTATGTAACTTAACTGTAAAGGACCAGTACTACTATGGAAAGAAGTACTAACAAAACACATTTATATGGGGATAATGGTTCTTACCTCATCGAGTTCTGCTAAACAAAATTTAGTAAACCATGTACAGTGCTTGCTTAGAGTTATGGTTAGCACGTAGTAAGAACTCGGTAAATGTTAGCTATTATTGCATACTATATACTATTATATATTAGGTAGTGCTTTTAACCTGTAATTTATGAAAATCACAGAAATTGCAAACCTACTTAGATTAACAGGTCAAATACAACTCATTTGAAAAATGCGCCAATCCAGTAATTTCAATATTCTCTTGGGGGAAAAATGACATCATATTTACAAACAAAAGGGGCAGTAAAATTAGTCTAAAAGGCAAAATGTTATGTAGAAGTGATCAAAATGATTCCTTAACAATTCATTTTGGTGGGAAACAATTTAGTAAAGATTTGATTACATGACAGAAAACAACTGTAAGTAATGATCGAAATATTAGCCGGACATAAAATCTAGCGATAATGTTTAAAACATACTTTTTGACTAAAGACTCATTCATTTTAACTATAAGGATAGTTTACGAAGAAAACAAGTGACTTCTAGAGTCCATTAGAAAGCATAATCTAATAAAGGGCGTAACCGCTCAACAACAGCGGAAATTGTTCTCTTTCCTTACTATTACTCTATCATGTCTTAGTCTAAAGATCCCTCAACCCACAACAATAAAAATTGAAATTACCAACAAACTTTTGTCCTATCTCCATTATTCAACAATTACATCAAAAGCATACCTATATATTTTCAATTTCTGAAAATTACAATGGCCAAGTACAATACCCTCCTATAAACGAATGATACACACTCAAATAATAATATAATGGGTAGGTGCCAAATAAAACAGAAGACACCTTCCCATTCAATTACAATATGAACGAACTCAACCAAAAGCAAAGCTAAAAAGGTTTACCAAAACCAACACAAGAGAGAAAAGTAACCAGATAACCAACCCGTTCTCCATTCCTAAAGTGGAATCCTTAGTCTCAGAACATCTTTAATTGCTCTTAAAGCCCCTTCAATGAAAAATACCACACACACGCAAGCACACCTCAGCAGCCACGGCGCCCCGCAATAACAAATAGTGATGAGGGTGAGAATGATACGGGAAGGGTGACACAATCTCTCAGCTTCAGAGTGGGAGGCGTGTCCCCCAAGGTTTTCACTTCCTTTCTACTGGAACGACAGCTGGAACGCCACAAGAACCCCAGCCGCACGGCTTGCAGGGCCCCAAGATTTAGTGTGGGGAGCAGAAAGGAAAGGAGGAAAATCTGAGGTTTCGAAAGGTGCAGAGGAAAACAGGCTCCGCGCGGTGCTGGGAGCGAATGCGGGCAGGGGGTGGGGGTGTCGGCGCAGCGGGGTGAGAGCCTCGGCAACCCCGGGGAGCGGAGCAAAGCAGCGCTCACTGCCCTGTCCACCCGCTCGGCCCCTGCCCCTTCCACCCCACCCTCGGGGCGACCAGGACGTGCTCCGGGGGCGCCCGAAGGTGCAAACCAACTGGGGAAGGCGGCGGGTCCTGAGGCTCCCGGGGTCTGGGGCAGGAGGGAGGAATCTTCTGTACCCGTTGTTCTCCGCACAGCAGCAGCTCCGGGTAACTGAACTCCACGCAGCTTTCGTCGGTGGGGTCCTTAAGCACCAGCTCCAGCCGAACAGTCTCCCTCGGCGGCCGTGGCGGCTGCTTGGCCCGGGAAGCTGACTCCCGCGGCGGGGGTGGCTGCAAGGGCAGCTGCGGGAGCGGCGGCGGCGGCGGCGGCGGCGGCTCGGGCCGCGGGGGCTCGCGCTGCAGCGACATGGGCGGCTCGGCACGGCTGACCTCGCGCTGGGAGAGAGGCTTCTCCCGCGGCGGGGGCCGCGCGTCCGAGCGGGGGGCAGGATCCCGCGGGGCCGGCGGCTCCGCCCGGGCCGGCTCGCGGTACGGCTGTGGCTCCGAACCGGGGGGCTCACGGGGGTACTCAGGCTCGCGCTCGGCCCCCGGGTACTCGGCCTCGCGTCGCCTCACCGGTGACAAGCTAATGAACGCTACTCTGCGCGGCTCCGCCATCCCCACTGTTCTGGCCCTCTGCTTTCGCTGAAGCCGGCGCTCGCTTCTACGCCTCGTTGCGTGCCTGCCCGCCCTTCCTTTTGCTTTCCGTCGCTTTTCTTCCCTCCACCACCCTCAGCCGTCTCCGCCGACGCCACGGTGAGAGCGGACCGTGCCCCCTTCCCCGCTACTATGTTCTGATGGGCTCCACCGCCATCGCCAGGGTCGCCGCAGCCGCCATGTTGGATCCCCCACATAAATAGAAGCAGGCCGCTGAGCGGGCGCATGCGCAGACAGAAGACGCTCGCGTCCACTGTCGTGGCTGTTGCTCAGTTTTCCTCTTTTCCTCCCAACAGTCTGGAGTCCAGACAGGTCGACGGAAGTGACGTCACGAAGTGGCATGTTTCCTTGGAAACAGAGACGCTGTCTGCGCCCTTCCTCACAGGGAGGGTTCTGGCGTTTACCCTGTAGCTTCCTATTCGCACCCGGAAACCGGAGGCGCGTTGGGAGCTTTGAAGGGCGAACGTTGGGATGTGCCCGGGACCGATCCAGCCATGGCGCCGGGTCCCGCCAGACACGGCCCCCGCTCCCCATTCTAGGGAGTTAGGGGTGTCAGCAGATTGTTCAAGGTGGACACTCGGCAAGGGTAGAGGGACGCATGGACTACCCGCCGTGCTTGCCTGCCCGGTGCCCCCGCAGCCCGAGGTACCCAGCAAAGAAAGGAAATGCCCAGCTCCAAGCGGACTTGCTTTCTCTCAAAAGCGCTACGCTGAGTCTCTTTGGCCTCTGGTTCCTAGACAGGCTCTTGTTTTCCTCTCCCGAGTACAGTGGGCGTTACGTGGGGCACGGCGTAAAATGCTCGATGATGCTGTGCAGTTGGAAAATTAACAAACAAATGAACACTCCCGGGCTCATTTGTAAGGCTAAACTATTGACATCAGTGGAAAATTTATTGAGGATTCGGTAGTATCTCGGGACGCACTCAAAGAATGCTAAATGACCCATTTGAGGGTGAAGGAGGAGCATCCATTGGGCACGCCTTGTTGGCGCTCCTGTGATAAACTAATTGGCATTCAGGCTTAAAAGGACGAGAATTACTGGCTGTTTTAATCCATCGACTAGAAAGTATATTTGAGAGCTCGCCCTCCACATTAACTGAGTTAGCTATAAAATGGTTTTGATTGAGTCAGCCTGACGTCATAAACAAATTCTGAGTAGGTTCGATTTTTTGCTCTTCCGTTACTTTCTGGGCTTGCACGAAGACTGTTACGGAATCAATGATTCCAAAGGTTCCTTTCAGTTCTAAAATGTTGTCATTGCTCCTTGACATCATGTTTTGCCTCTATTATCTCCTTTCTCTTTACTTCAACTCGGATTCCAAATTAAGTTCTCATCATTTGAGTGTCTTGGGAGCGCTTAAGTGATCTTTCTATTCTCAGTTTCTATTCCTGCCACTCTTGCAATGGGGCCATTTTAATGCTTCTAAAACACTGCTTTTGATGACGTTATTCTCTGTCCTAGCTGCAACCTACCTACAGATTATCTTTTTGTTGTTGTTGTTGTTGAGACAGTCTCACTCTGTTGCCCAGGCTAGAGAGCCATGGTATCAGCCTAGCTTCACAGCGACCTCAAACTCCTCGGTTCAAGTGATCCTTCTGCCTCAGCCTCCCCAGTAGCTGAGATAGGCGCCCTCCATATCCGGCTAATTTTTTCTGTTTTTAGTAGAGTTGGGATCTTGCTCAGGCGAGCCTCTAAATTCAAGGGATCCCCTGGCCTGGGCTTTCCAGAGTGCTAAGATTACAGGGGTGAGCCAGGACATCTGGCTCAAGCTGGTGGTCTGTGGGCCAACTCGTCCTGCAGTTGTGTTACTCATCCAACATCATCTTCTGTTAACTTCTGCTAAAGTTGAACATTTCTCCAACTTTCTAATCCACAAGCCACAGAAGAAATAGATTTTACATTGTAACCCAATGTACATACAGGTTACATCCAAGTCTGAAATATGTTCACAATACTTACCTTATGCATAGGATAAAGTTAACTTAATATAACAATATTCTATGATACATTGTAGAAACGTCTTAAATAAGACAGAAGCAAGTTAGGAAAGGTTATTTACCTCCATAGAAGTCCTTGCCTTTTCATAGATTTTATTCCACTCCAGAATTTATGTACACAATGGTACCAGGAAAATGTGGTATACTGTTGAGCCTGATCTTTTTCTTTGTTTTATAACAAGCCAAAATTGAAAATTCCACTTCCCATACATAGTTGTTGAGTATTAATAATGTGTATACAGGTTCTTCTTAGCAGTAAACTCTTAATCCAACACCTTGATATATTTCATATGTGGCAAACATTTTTTTCTGTATAAATGAAGTACTAAGCTGCAATTTATTTTCTTCATAGATACCAAGTTTAATTCAATTATTTAAAGTTTTAGAAACCAACGAATCTTAATACAGTTTTTTTAATGTCTCAAGTTATCTTCTGGTTTTAATAGCTTCTTACAATTTTTTTGTGTCTCTACTGTTTCCTGATCATAGTTGCTGTTCAATCATTTGAAATTCTGTACCATTTGTATAATTTAATTTTTATTACCTAAATGTTCTTTTGTAATTTTTTTAAACCATGGAAGTGGTTTTATTTTTGTTATTGCACAGCACTGCAATTGTGTACTTGTAGTGTTTGCTTTCTTAAATATTAAGTATGCATTAAAATATATGTATATATTTACATTTAAGAAATGTGACACGGCTCAGCACCTGTGGCTCAAGCGGCCAAGGCGCCAGCCATATACACCTAAGGTGTCAGGTTCGAATCCAGTCCGGGCCCGCCAAACAACAATGATGGCTGCAACCAAAAAATAGCCGGGCGTTGTAGCAGCCGCCTGTGATCCCAGCTATTTGGGAGGCTGAGGTAGGAGACTTGCTTGAGCCCAGGAGTTGGAGGTTGCTGTGAGCTGTGATGCCACAGCACTCTACCTAGGGCGATAGCTTGAGGCTCTGTCTCAAAAAGAAAAAAGAAATGTGACACATCAGAGAAGTCGTGTATGAACATAATCTATTCCCAATATATTTTACTGCTTTATTTCATACATGTAATGTAATCTACAAAGTCAAATAAAACTATCAACTCTCATGGTATAGAAGTATATACAAATTTTATAGTTTGACAAACATGTTCTCATGATTTTATAAATGACAATGACAAATGTATTTGTAGTGTTTATTATCACATGATTTATCACAAGTTGTTATCGTCTCCATCCTCTTCTGCCAATAATAGATATTTCAATGCACTTGATAAAGATATCATGCATTTAAAAAGTCAAAATGGTCAAAAGCCTAGATTTAACAAAAAGAAAAAGAAAAGGTTGCTATTTAAATACAGGGTATTACTCAGTCTTATTCACTACGGGCCAGGTGAAGTTAGGCTCACACCGGTAACCCTAACACTCTGAGAGGCCAAGGCGATAGTATGGCTTGAGGTCAGGGGTTTGAGACCAGCCTGAGCAAAGCAAGGCCCCCCCTCTCTATAAAAGATAGAAAATTTAGCAGAGCTTGGTGGCCCAGGCCTGAAATTCCAGCTACTGGCAAGGTAAAGGCCTGAGGGTCGCTTCAGCTTAGGAGTTTGAGGTTGCAGTGAGCTATGATGATGCCACTGAACTCTACCAGGCAACAGAGTGAGACTCAGTGTCCAAATAAAATAAAATCCAGTATCTTCTTTGTTTAAGAGCAGATTACAAGAAATATTATCCATGCTCTTCTTTTTTTTTTTTTTGAGACAGAGTTTCACTTTATCACCCTCAGTAGAGTGCCTGACATCACAGCAACCTCCAACTCCTGGGCTTAGGTGATTCTCTTGCCTCAGCCTCTCAAGTAGCTGGGACTACAGGTGCCTGCCACAACACCAGGCTATTTTTTGTTGCTGTTTGGCTGGGGCTGGGTTTGAACCCGCCGCCCTCATTATATGGGGCGGGCACCCTACTCACTGAGCCACAGGCGCCGCCTACTCCATGCTCTTCTTTTAAAAAACAAGATTCTGATATATATAATAAATCTAAATCACAATTCACAAATGGTGGCTGAAATCCTGTCAAATTTCATCTCAATACAACAGAAATCCTCAGTTGTGTGTAAACAATTCAAAATTAACGTTACAATGGAAATGTCAAATCATAACTACTACATATTGCTACTGATGGGTTCCACTATCCTTCAACCAGGCCCAGCAGATGTGCACATCTGATAGACTGCTTAGAAAATTAAAGCTATCAGAGCTATAAATAAGGAATACATAAATATGAACATAGCAACATGAGCGCATTCGAGCCATTTTTAAAAAATGAATAAGATGCTATGTAAACATATCTGATGGTTCTCTCTGGAAGCTACTTTTCACTGATTTATAAAAGCTATGGTTTTAGAATTCTTTTAAAAAGGAAAAAATTTCACAGTGCTGGATGTGGTACTTTCTTTGTACATTCTTGACCATAATGCAATCTTCAGATCTTCATGCAGAGCTTATAGTATCAGGATTTCTCCGGAAAGTCAGCTCCTTATATTTTCATCAGCCTTTAGTTCTTCAGTAGCCTTATAAAGCTCCTTAATAACCAATGATAATACCCCTGGATTATTCCTCCTTCACAGAGCTATATACAAATAGAGTTTCCCTACCTAAGACAGTATTCAGAATTCTTCAAATCTTAAGCAGATAGTCCAGTGATCTCCTTCATGCCATGAGATTCGCTGCCACACTACTACTTGCAATCACAGAGGCCAAGGGAGCTATTTTCTAATTCTACACATACTTTTCTCTATACAGATAATAACGCCTCTATGAAATTATCTTGCTGCACATATCTGGCATAAAAGTGTTGCACACTTTGCAGCATAGGTGCCCTCATCAAGTTGGACTGTGACTACATTATAACGATTGCTTCTTCTAAATGTTCTGTAGTGATAGTCTTGATGTTGTGTTATCACCAAGGTTTTCATTTATCTGATTCGTCACCAGAAGCACCACAGCCATAAATACTAGATGAAACCATTTTTCAGCACTTACGATGGTCCATTTTTCTTTTGCTACAACAGGCAACTAAATGCAAAGAATGTCTTTCTCAAGATTTCTATTTTCTTTAGCACGTAATTGTGGGGTTTATTGACAAGTTCATCATGCTGTATTTTCAGATGTCCTTTTAATTGTGAAGGTATTCAGCTTTCATTTGCAGGAAATGCACTTTTC